CATGGAACCAGAAGAGACCCAGAATAGTAAAAGTAATCCTGGGTAGCAATAACAAAGTGGAAGGCATCACAATCCTGGGTTTGTAGTTAATATTACAAAGCCACTGTGAAAAAAACAGCATGGTACTGGCACAAAAACAGGTGCTATATGTGGATCAAGGGACCAGAATAGAGTATGGAGAAACAACCCTAAGCACCTTCAATTATATAATCTTCAGTAAGAGAGACTACAACATATACTGGGTGAAATATAACCTCTTTACCTAACAATGATGGGAAAACTGGCTATCCATATGCAGAAGACTGGATCTAGAATCACATATCTCACCATGTAATAAACTAAAATGAAAATCAATCAAAGATATAAATGTTAAAACAAATAATCTGCTGAAAGATAAAAATAGATAAAACTCTCTATTAAAGACACAGACATAGTTAAAAACTTTCTGAATAGAACCCCAATTTGCACAAGAAATAACATCAACAATAAATACATGGAATATCAAATTAAAAGCTTCTGGACAGCAAAGGAAATGACTAACAGTGAAGAGTCAACCTACAGAATGGAACAAATTTTTGCCAGTTATTCCCTGGACAGAAGATTAATAGCTAAAATATACTAAGAACTAAAAAGAAATAGATTCTGAAAAATAAAAGACTCATTAACAAAATAGGCAACTGAAATAAATACCCAGAAGAAATACAAATGGCCAACAGATAACATGAAAAAATGTTCAATATCGCTGGTCATTAGAGTAATGCAAATTAAAACAACACTGATATTCCATCTTACCCCAGAAAGAATGGCTATCATGAAGAAATCAAATAATGACAAATGCCACAGAGGCTGTGTGAAAAAGGGACCTCTCTACATTGTTGGTGGGAGTACAAATCAGTACACCCACTATGGAAATGAGTATGGAGATTCCTCACAAAACTACAACTAGAAATTCCATTTGACCAGTTATTCCCCTTCTAGGTATCTTCTTGAAAGAGTTCAAAACATCATATACAGTGATACATGCACAAACTCATGTTTACAGCAGCACAAATCATAACAGCAAAATCTTGGAAGCAGCCCACATGCTCATCAATAGGTGAATGGTTAAAGAAAATGTGGTGTTTACATACAATTGATTAAAACTGCTATACAGAAAGATAAATGAGTCATTTGTAGGAAAATGAATGTACCCTGAAACTACAATGTTTAATGAAACAAATGAGACATATAAGTTTGAATATCGCATGGTTTCCCTTATATGAGAAATGCAAAATATAAACAAAGAGCAGGATTAAAGGTAGATAACAGAAGTAAGGAGACAGATGTTTTGCCAACAGGAAGGGGACTGAATGGCAGAAGAAGAGGGTGGGGAGAAGAGGAGGGGATGGAAAAAAACTGAGATGTGTTGTGTCCATGTAACCACTCCTACAGGGAATGTGATCATCATGTACTACGCGCAGTACTAATAAAAGATGAAAAATTTTTCTTTTTATTGTTGAGTTTATTGGTACATTCTAGGTATACAGTACAGTTACATTCATTACTAGAATCTCTACCTTCACATGACAGGTCTTGGTTCTCATTTTTCCCCCTTGTCCCTGCCCTCCCTTGACCCCCCCCTTCTCCCCTTCCCATTTACAAACATTTTATTTCTTTTTTTTCATTTTCTCATATTTTTTTCCTTTCCCTTATTACCTTTCCCCTACCCTTCCCACTTTGCCTACACCTTTATCCCTTTTCTTCCTATTACACATTGTCAATTATATCATTAGGATCTTGTGTACTATTTGTTTTTTACACCAGAGAAACTATTCAGTATTTACATGTGTGACTTAATATTTCACCTAGGAGTATATCCTAAATATGTATCCATTTTCCTATGAATGACTCTAATTTCTCATTCCTTATGGCTGAGTAGTATTCCATTTTATAGAAAAATCACATCTTCTTTATCCAGTCTCCAAATGATGGGTGAATGGGCTGTTTCCAAGTTTTAGCTATTACAAACTGTGCTGCTATAAACATGGGTGCGCATATGTCTCTGTGGTATGATTCTTTTAAATATTTTGGAAAGATACCCAGCAGAGGGATGGCTGGGTCAAATGGAACCTCCAGTCCAAGCTCTTTGAGGTATCTCGATATTGATTTCCATAGTGGTTGCACCAGTCTGCACTCCCACCAACAATGCAGAAGGGTTCCTTTCTCCCCACAACCCCACCAACATATGTTATTGTGTGATTTCTTGATAGCAGCCATTCTTTGTGGGGTGAGGTGGAATCTCAGTGTTGTTTTCATTTGCCATCTCTTGAATGACCAGTGATGTGGAACATTTTTTCATATATTTACAGGCTGCTTTTACTTCTTTGTCTGAGAAATGTCCATTCATTTCAGATGCCTATTTTTGAATTGGGTCTTTATATTTGGTGGGGGGGCTGATTGTTTTGAGTTCTTTATATATTCTAGATAATAGTCCTTTGTCTGAGGAGCAGCTGGTAAAAATTTTTTCCCACATTGTACCATAAGAGACCTAGAATAGTAAAAGCCGTCCTAGGCAACAGACACATGGCAGCAGCAATTCCCAATCTAAAACTATACTACAAAGCCACTGTGATAAAAACAGCATGGTACTGGCAAAGAAACAGACCTGAGGATCAGTGGACAGATTCGAAGACACAAAAACAACTCCAGATGTACTCAGCTACATCATCTTTGACAAAGGAACTGACCATCCTCACTGGAGGCAAGATAGTCCCTTTAATAAATGGTGTGGGAAAAACTGGATCTCAACCTGCCAAAGATTAAAACTAGACCCTTATCTTTCACCATGCACTAAAATAAAATCAAAGTGGATTAAAGATCTAAATATTAAAATAGAAACACTAAACTTGCTGGAAGATAAATTAGGCAGAACTCTTGAAGACATTGGCATAGGAAAAGACTTTATGAAGAAATCCTCAGTAGCACGGGAACTAGCAGAAAGAATCAACAACTGGGATCTCATCTTATTGAAAAGCTTCTGCAGTGCAAAAGAAATCATCAAAAAATGAAAAATTTAAAAGAACTATTCTTAAGTGTTTTATGTATTTCAATAGCATCATTGTATTAACTTTTTAAAAGAAACGGAATAGGCTCTGAGTAAAACAGGCTATCAGGAAACAAATGGTAAAGTAAAAGACATTTACTGCTTTGAGGTGGTAGATTGAAGGCCAAACCTCTCTGATAAGATCATTGTGTTTGGAGAAGAAAATTAAGCTGCTTGTCCCTAACTGAGCTATAACCTTTGAGGATTTGGGCGCTAGAGTTAGATTCAGGGATAAACCAGCCGCTTCAGTGGATAGTGCTTGAGTATCCAAGGCTCAGAAGTGGATGGATGAGGGGAGAGACCCGGGCAAGGCACGGTCACCTCAGAAGGAGGGATCTCAGTGACTTTCAGATGATGGATTGGGTAGAAGTGGGCTCCAGAATAGATGGGACAGGGTTTCTATGAAGGTGAATCCCTGATAGCAACCTGAGCCCGAGCTCTCCTCTAGGAAGGGGCACTAGGCTTGCAGCCATGCAGATCAGTGCTCAAGTCCTCCATTTTTCCAACAGTAAAATGAGCTAATCTTTTGAGGTTGTTACAAAGGCTAAATAAATGTGTATAGGGTGCCTGAGGGTGCGGTTCAACAGTAGAGCACTGGCTCTGGATTCAATCCTCAACACACACACACACACACACAAACACACACACACACACACACACACACACGGAGAAAAGGAAGAGGAGGAGGAAAAGGAAGGAGAAAGAGGAACGTGACAATGACCCCCACCCCCAACATACCAGTATATAACAGTACTGACACTGGGCATGGTGGCACATGCCTACAATCCCAGCACTCTGGGAGGCTGAGGCAAGAAGATCACACGTTCAAGCCCCATCTGGTCAATTTATCAATGTAGTGAGTTAGTAAGACCCTGTCTCAAGTTAAAAATTAAAAAGGGGGTTTGGACTGGGGATTTAGCTCAGCGGTTCGCTGGCCTGCCTTGCAAGTGCAAGGACCTGAGTTCAATCCCTGGTACCAAAAAAGAAAAAATTAAAAAGGGGCTGGGAGTTGTGTAGACCCTGTATTCAATCCCTACCACCCACTCTAAAAGTAGTGAAATGCTGCCAATACATAAAGGAGTCTAAATCATCTAGTGGTCTGACAGCATCTCAAGTTAAAGAGTATCTGGTGAGATCCTTTCTTTTTACATATTTATCCAAACTGTTACCCAATTTTAAAAAATCGAATCTCTCCTGCGCTCAACAACTTATATGCATTGTCTCTACCACTGTAACAACCCAAGAGGGAGGCATTAGTGAAGATGACTATCTTCACTTTTTAACTTTTAAAGTATTTATTACTTTATTATTTATTATGTACAGTTTGTAGTAAATAATGATTACTAAATTCATGTATGTAGATATAACACTTGTTAATTCTTTTTGCTTTCCCCTCCTCTCTCCTTCCTCCATCGCTCAGTCTCCTTGTGGTCTTAAAACACTAAAAATATTTCAAAAGCATCATGCATTTTTATTACTATAGTATCACACACATGGTAGCTGCTCAATAAACATTTTTAATGTCAAGATACTCATTAGGTTCATGTAGAAGAAAAATTACAATGTAAAAATATATTAAACATTTTCCAACATGTCTAGATTTTGAAATTTTGTCAGTGTTCTCTCAATTCAGATAAAGTAACAATGGGAAAAATGTAATTACTATAATAAGTACCTCAGTGCTAAATATTGATATTTTACATGTCATTCTTTCCCCACTGCCCTAATTAGCTAAGATTTTCCTTGAGAGATAAAAATTAGTAGTGCAAAGGAATAAAATGGCAAAAATAGGAATGTAAAGAAAACAGTTTAAGTAAGCAGACATAATAATGAGCCTTCTACTCTTCGAGTATTTGTATTTGGCATGTTAATCACAGTAAAAATAACGAGAACATCAAGATAGGCACAGGGTACTTACCCTACTACAATGCTCCAAAAGTGCAACAATGCTGGCTTCCAACTGTGCTTTCCGTTCCAGTTCCTGATTCTTAGTTTCCTCAAAAGTGTCTATGAAAGCTGCCAATTGAAAAACATGATAAAAGAGGCTACTGTTGATATAGCTGACATTGTATTGCATAAACTCTGTTTTTTAGGTCTTCAGAATACTTTTTAGAAATTCAAAACAAATATAAATTTTAAACTACCACTGTTCAATTTTTTTATTAACCCAAAAGTGATTATTCAATAATGATATTTTTACATATTTTCAAATTCTTAAAACATTCAAACTCTTTTCAAGCTCTTAAATTATGATTTTGATATGAGTACACTAAAAGTTAAAAACATAGGTTTAAGAAATCGCTGATAAAAATGGAGATAAAAAAATGCATACAGATAGGAATAGAGAAAAAATAAGAACCAAGATTGATTAAGTACAGGTACAAATTTCCAACAATGAATGTCGTTGTATTGTATACATGAAATGTACCAATAAAATTAAATTTTTAAATGCTTATTTTAATTTTAATGCTGGATTAATCACAAAGTAAATTGAATAATGCATTTAGATTATAAATATTCTAGGAAATCATTCTTTTATTTGTCTAACATAGAACAGGCACATAATATTGGTTATTTACAAGTACTACTATGGAGCTTCCAAAGATTTAGTATTTTTAGCTAAAAATTTTACTGATAACATAAGATAAACATCAATTCATTGCCTTCTATTGCAGATTTCCATTACACTTTTTTCTTTTAATATATTTTTAATTGAAATAGTCTTCAGGAAAACATATTTTATTGAATATGGTGGTACTGGACTACAATAAATTTTTTTTAAATTAAATATTCTTTAATGTCCTGCTTCAACACTTAACTACAGGTCTTTGATATGATATGCTGTTTTATAGGTAGCATCTAGTGATTTCAATACTATGGAGCTGTCACATATCATTCCTGATCTTATTTTTAACCAAAAACACTTTTTAAAAAAAGAAACAATGAATTAATTTTTAGATAATTTCTGATACTTGCTGAGACTGTAAAGAAACCTTGAGTATATTGTGAAATTAAAGCTGACAATAACAATTTTATAGCACTCCTTGAAGGTAATAATTAACATTAGACCTATAAAACTTCAGATTTTAGCAAAATGATAATTCAAAAAGAAGCCAATAATACATGCAATTTTTTAAAAATTACATATGTACAATATAAGATTAATGTTTACTCATAAAGTTGAGTTTTTTAAAAAAAGAATAAAAAACTAACAGAAGGCCAGTAAAGCTACAGTTGATGAAAGAGTGAAGTAACGGCAGAGGTAAGGACTTAAATAATGACGTATTATGAAAAGCTAAAAGCTGAATGATATTAAAGGTAAATATAATAAAACATATAGAAAGGAACATTCAGCATTCAATCAGTAAGTAGTCTGCAGGCTTTCTTTGCATAGCCTATGAATATAAGCACTAGCTTTAGAATCTATCCCTAACACACAAATACTCATACATATGTATATACACTTTTTTGGAATTCTCTACCCAACCCTAAATTTTGCTAGAAATGTAAATATTCTTCACCACAAAATATCTTAAATGTCCATAGTTCTATATTTATTATACAATGTATCTCTGCAAAATAAGACCTCTATGATTTTTTTATAAAGAGCAATGTAAGAATAGATTTCATATTTGTAAATTATCACTTACTGTCCATATTTTCTTCCCTTTTTTTTAGTTCTCTGTATTTCTGATTCATTTCACCTGTAAGAAATGCAAAACATACCATTAATTTCAAAAATTCTAGTTATAATAGTCCAAATTCAAAATATCTCTTAGGTTGTCTTTATGCCATTAGTGACTGAATATTTCATATCCTCAATTAGGTAAAATGCTTTTACATTGATTTACAGAGCTCTTTTTTTTATTTTGGGTAGAACTTGGGATTGAACTGAGGGACTTTTCACTAAGCTCTATCTCCAGCCCTTTTTTCTTTTTTCTTTTGAGAAAGGATCTTGATAAGTTGTCCAGGCAAGGCTCCAAGCTGTGATCTTTCTGCCTCAGCTTCCAAGAGTGCTGGGCTTGCATGTGTATGCCATTAAAAGCAGCTATATATTTGTTTATTGATTACTTGAAAAAATAATCTCACGACTGGAAATAATGCACAAGGCTATTTGACCTAATCAAACGGCACCAGTAATAAGATGCCTGAGTTCAAAGAAAGTTCATTCTATCTACAAAGATTCACAAGAAAAAGAACACTGAGGCGATACTTTTTTTGTGGGGGGGGTACTGGGGATTGAACTCAAGACCTTGTGCTTGCAAAGCAGGCGAGATGAAACTGAGCTACATCCCCAGCCCCAGAGACAATACTCTTAAGTGAAATAAATAGGATACATATGTGTAAATACCAAAACGTTTCTCCAGTGTGAGAAACTGAAAATGTAAATAAGGACTAAAAGGTATAACAGATAATGTGAAATAGGTAGAAAAGTTGCAAAGGGGAAGGAGAAGTGGGGGCGGGAATAAAGAAGGGAATGGAATTAATATGAGAAAAAGAAAAAATGGAAACAAAGGCTTTGTAGATAGGGAGGTGTGGAAGGGTTGAAGGGAGGGCAGGGGAATGGGAAAAAAATAAGAACCAAGACGGATTATGTAAAGGTGCAAATTTCCAATGATGAACGTCTGTACTTTGTATACCTTAAATGTACCAATAAAATTATTTTTTAAAAAAAGTGAGGTAGTAAGCTTACTTGCTCCACAGAACTTACAGTCTAGGAATTAATAAATAATTTAAATTTAAATTTAAATGTACCAATAAAAATTAAAACATACCAAAAAGCACAGAATGTTATCAGTGTACCAACATATATAACTAATCTAGTTTGGAAACTTTGGGAAATTTTCCCTAAGAAAGAAAAATTTGTGCTATATTTTAATGAATGAATCAGAGTTACCTTTCAATGAAATTGTTCTCATTAAGATTCTGGCTGCTTCATTGTGAAATCCAAAGGGTAATTTTCAGCTTTTATTCTGCAAGATCTATCACTATTGAGACACACATCCTTTCAATTTTTTTTTTTAATGTTTCTATCTGCTTTTGTCATAGGAGGGGCAATTCTTTGGCTTTTCACACTCTCAGATCATTCTCTGCATTCTCCTTGTGGGTTTCCTCTTCATTTAAATTTGAGATATTTTCTTAATTGATTTATAATGCTACATTATATCCATAGAAATATCACTCATCCTTGTGATTTAAAAACTCTCCAATTTGATCTTTTCTGATATTCAAGTTCCTTCATCCAATTGCTTACTATACACATTCATGTGGAGGTTCTCAAAGATACTGTGAAATTCAGTATATCCATAATTAAACTCATCAGTCTTTATCCCCTCCAAGTCTACCTCTCTCTTTATTCCCTATTAATTTGAATGTCCTCACCACCTACTTATCGTCTGAGTCAGAAACCTGGGCAACTTCTCCCTCCTGCTCCCTCAAACCTCCTAGTTGCCAACATATTGAGCTGTAAGGCATGTGTGTTAAATGTCTCTAGCTGCACAGCTGGCCAACTGGATCATATGGGACAGATCTCCCACACAGCTCAGCAAACTTCAAACACATTTCCTTCCACATCACCGTTAAGAAAGAGAGTGGTCAGAGCATTAGTGAACTGGTCTGTTTGTCATTTCTCAGTAGATGATTAATATCTTGGTTGCTCAGATGTCAGCAGTCTTAACGCAGGGTAAAGTACAACTGTAACATGTTACCAAATGCATTCTTACATTCAATGTCCAGGAGAGGACAAGATCATAGAGAGAAGGAAGTAAACTAGAGTATCACACTGGAGGTGCAAGCAATAGGATCTAATAAGTAGATCAATAAGTAGATCAAAGAAGACAGAAGGAACATGATGATAAAATGAGGATGATTTTGGAGAAGTCCTCTAACCCTGAGCATCTGGTGTGACAACAGATCTGTATTCATTTACTCCATTCTATTAACTGAGTATTCACTCTGCACCAGATACTGTTATAGGTGCTGGGGATTAACAAAAAAAAAAAAAAAAGAACAAGATTAATTCCCACCCTATCCTCCTCCAAGGGCTTAAAATCTACTTATTAGGTTTACAAATACAAAAAGGTATAATGCAACATAAGTGTTGTAACTGTGTCATATGTGAAGTGCTATGGTAAGAGACGGTAACCAGAGATCAGGAAGCTTTCACATTGGAAGCCTCATTGATAAGATACTTTATCAGACAAGGTGGGAATTATAGGAATGACATAATTTTCTTTCAAATAATTTACTTAAGATGTAATGTACATGTACCGATATCCCATGATAAATTTACACAATCATTATGTACTGTAAACAAGTACTGATAAAAATATAAAAAGTTATTTTAAAATATATAATACAATAAAACAAATACACAAAAATGTACCCTATAAACCTGGGCCTTTCCCCAATCTCCTGTAGGAAAGAAAACTGTCCTCATTGTAAGGAAGTTTATACGACATTTTAAATTCCCTAATATCAAATGATGTTCTCGTGACTCAGGGTTTACAGGCTAGAACTGTCTCGGCTTTCACACTCTGAGATGCAGTTCTGATTCCAAGCAAGGTCTGACTGTCATTTTCCTTCTTCTCTCTTGATCAGTATACAAAAAGACATATCCTAATGACTCCTTGCCCTTGAGGCCCCCAGCGCAGCAAGACTACTGATTTTGGAGTTGAAAGGACAACAGAAAACAAAATTTAAGAGATGAAGACAGGACAAAAACCTATAGGACTTTTGCATATCCGGATCAGTTCCTTTCCAGCACCTGGGATCCTTCTGAAGCAGGCTAAGTCTCCCAGTCTACTGTTCCTTATGACATGGTTTCATTTACTATTACCATTCTTACCACCCTATTCTGGTGGAGTTCCCATTCTTCTTTGCCCTTTTTAAGTATTCTGCAAAGAAACTTAGGATTCCAAGAATACTATCACTTACCATAGTCTGTATATACATTTTTGTTAATGTAACCAAGGATTTCAGCTGTTTTCAGGGTTATGTCACATTAATGCACACTGAGCTATTATTGTCTTAACCCCCTCCATATTTGCATATATTTTAGTATTCCAGAACACTTCCTCTTCCCTCTGCAATTTTAATTAGTTTGGGAAGCCTATTAAACTCATCTGTTTATATTTAGTCTATCTTTTCCATTCTTTTCACATACCATTGTAAGTGTAAGTAAGCAATAAGTATTTCAAATACTGCTGAATTCCTATGTTAAAATGACTATATATACATTTACTGTTTTAAACTAACTTTAGGCTGTAGGCATCATCCAGCTTACCAATTACATATTCTTTACAAAATATTTTAAATTTTTGCAGAAAAATCTCTTTACAACTATGGAGACAAGGTCAGGTAACTTCTAAACACAGGAGCTACTTTTGAAAATAAGATGAAAATTCTCTAAATATGTAGCCATTAAATTACAGCTAAAAGCCCTACTATTACTATTAATGTTTATCTAAAGAAAACAAAGACTATGTAGAAATTTGTTTCAATAGAGTAATGTCAATAATATCAGACAGTATAAATAGTAGTCCTTGGTATGTGCCAAACACAACATAAGGTCCTCAATTGTTATCTAAAGCACTTGTTGTCAAACTTTAATACAAATCAAGAGGACTTGTTGAAACATACATTATCGAGCTCTATCCTCAGATTTAATAGGTGTAGGGTAAGAACCAAAAATGTACATTTCCAAAAAGTTTCAGATGGAGCTGATGCTCCTGGTCTAGAGATACTTTCATGTCTCTCATGGAAATACGAAGTGTAGTTTAAGTAGTTTCCACTTTGAAAAATAATGATTTGTTGGTCTTCATTGGATATACACCAAGAAACCACAAAACAGGAATAGATACATGTGGTTTACAGTCTCAGATAAAAAGATATAACATTTTGATATTTTCTAACATACATTTAGAAAAATATCCACAAAAATTACTCCAGTTTAATTAAAAATGAATAACATTTATATTAGCCAATAACAAATACAAGAACTTTTCAAATTGAGTGGTATTCTGAGTCAGAAAAATACTAACCTAATCCTTATAATAATACTAAGAGGTAGGACCTAGTACTATTTGTCTTTTAAAGATGAAGAAACTCTTCAAAGCAAAGGTTAAACAGCATGCCCAAGATGAACACTAAAAGTAGTAGAACGTAGATGTGAATCAAGGAATTCTGGTTGCAGAACATGTAATCAAAACTATTCTTTTTTGTAAATTTTACTTGACATAAGAAACAAATAAAAGCTCCTAACCTAGACCATGAACTCTGAGTATAAGGGAGTATCCTATACCAAAGAAACATACCATATTTTAAACTTTTACTACTCTTGAAAGAGAACCACAAATTGTGGTGTAAATTTTAATGAATTCTTTCAGAATGTAGACCAGAAATCCAGAGAACAGAGCAGTCTGGAAAGCTGATCAAGCTTCTGGGGAGACAGACCTGTTTCCACTAACACAAAAAGCAAGCCTGGGTTGCCAAGGGTTGGCAGCTCCAGGAAGAAACAATGGGATCAGGCTGGCAGCACTCACCCCAAGGAGAACCCATGGCTACTGTAAATGGCAAGAACTGTGGGTTTTACACTGAAAGTGACTCCTCCCAAATGGCAGGCTAGAACTGGAGAAGAAATCCAGTGTAGCACCTGCCATATTTGAGAGTATTTAATTGGAAACCATTTTGGAAAGGGCTTAAG